ATTACAAACTTCAAAACATGACATTTCAAAAAATGACATTGCCACAAAATTTTAAATATGAGATCGATGCATTTTATCATTCGTGTAAGCGAAAATTTGTTTTTCGCCCTTGTATCGAAAACTACTATTTTGGTGCGCCCTCAACAGCCTGGTTTGCACCCAGAAAAGCCTATCAATGTTTATTTGAAGTTTATTAATTAAATTGCCCCAGAGGAATCGATTTCAGTTTCCGTTCCGTAGTTTGGATGATAACTGCGGGGTCTTTATTAAGCTGAGAAAACTTTCTTGCTCCAATATTGGTGTTGCTGTTTTATTAGTTAACGAAGGCGTGGGCTTGAAAAATTTCATTGAGAAATGGAATTTAAATGGGTGCTGCTTGCTGACTTAAAAGATCGTTTTATGGCAATTTGCTAGACTTTTCTTAGCCATTTTTATGGTTCGCTGTCGATAGTTTTTAATGAAATTAATGGCCTATTACAGATTTTCTATTCGAATACTACAAGAAAAAAAACGAGCCAAATTATTTTATAAGCAATTGAAGTAGTGAAACTAGTGGAGTTTTCGGGTTTTTTGGCCGTTGTAAAAGGGAACACCTTCCTGATGTTTCGCAAGCATTAGTGGCTTCCACCTTCAGAGGTGGTTTGCTTGACCGCTTACACTGTTCTAAAGCGATTCCTTGGGCGCAGTCCGTATTTTTTAAAACCGTGGTTTCTAGTGTTTTCAGCCAAGAGCACTGTTAAGATCCGTACTAGTTTATAGTCTCGAGAATTGTGCGGTCGTTGATCATTGTTTGGAAAACGTCTCGATTGATGGTGAGATCGGTCCATGGAATGCCCAGCATTCTGCGGTACCCTCATATTTCAAATGCTTCCAGTTTGTTTTTGTCCAGGCCTCGACTGCGTGTAGTAACGTAGAATATACATAAGATCCAACAAAGTTAAATCTCATGTTTAAATTGAGGGTTGTATTGGTTAGTAGATTCCGCGTTTTAGTAAAATTGTCTCTAGCTTTCTCCACATGGTAGTATACAGGGTGGTTCAGAACCTTATGGACACAGAGCAGGGGCGTGTAGGAAAACTAAAAACTAGTCGAGCTTTCATTTAAGGTTTTATTTTTCAATGAGCAAGTTGATATGCTATTAGTATATCAACTTGCTCCATACGGTTGTGAATCACCCTATATATTTATGTTAAAGTAGTTGATCGGATCGCGACTTATTTGCATGATTTTTGCTTTTCAGATATTAAACCGCAGTCCCATTTTGTCACTCTGTCTCGTCCAAAGCGTTTTGGAAGTAACTTCTTAATACATATTAAGGAGCATGGGACTAAGTACACACCTGTCTGACTCCACGCCTTATCGGTAGGGTGCTTGTCTCGGTGTTTTCCAATTTGACAGATGCCACTTGATATTCATAAGGATTCTGAGCGATTTTCAGATCTTGGGCGTCGACACCTTTTCTTTCCAGCAGTTCTGACAGTGTGGTGTGATTGATACAGTCAAAGGCTTGTGAATAATCTGTGAAACAAAGATGTACTTTCTTCTGTTGATCTCTGCATTTTTGCAACAGCACAGACAGTGCGAATAAGGCCTCCCTGGTACCCACTCTTTCACGGAAATCCATTTGTACTTCGCTTATATCTTTTCGCATTTTCTACGTATGAGCCAATAAATTATTCTCAAGAACACCTTTAACACCTGGCTCATTAGGCTGATCAATCGCAATTCTGCGCACTTCCGCCCTCCGGGCTTTTTAGGTATGGGTATGAAGATTGATTTAAGCCAACCATGAGGGATGTACCCTGAGGTATATACAGGGTGAATTTTTAGAGCGAGAGAGAGCTTTCAGAGAACTTTCAAAAAATAGTTTCAAATAAAAGTTGTTGACGCACATAGTGCGCACATATTAAAAATATCTTATATGATACAGAGTGTATTTTTTTAAATAGAACTACCCATTTTTCATTAGCTCATGGAATGCAGCGTTTCAAGCTGCATACGCACCGTAAATTGTTTTTTTTTCCTACTTGCGACGTTGGCAGATTATCGCCGTTTAAGTAAATTTTGCATAAAAACATGGTATCTAAAAATTAACTGTAGAAGCAAAAAAAACAGTTAAAGATACCAAAAAATACGTCTTTCCAATCACCACAGATCCGTTAACAATTCTATTAAATCAAAATATCAATACAGGGTGTTAACTTATATGTGTGTGGACTTATATGTAAAACTTTTTAATGCAATATAACTTCTGTTTTTCAAATGGTAGTACCTGTATATTAATACGTCATTAGATATATAATATACAAAGTTACAAATTTGCATTTACCCTTTATGCTGTGAAATCAAGCGTGTTAGAAAGATAATTTATTTTCTTTAAAAATTTTAAAAAGTTGTTACATTATATTATGTATGTATTCTGACGGGTAAAGCAGATACAATGTTGGACGCAAAACGCTTTCCTGTGTTTTGTGGTACTTTCATGGGTTTTAACTTGGAAGGTTCTGTCATTGAGGAAATTATGATCATTTTTTGAGAACCATTTGGACAACTTCAGTTATTATTATATTATTTAGCATTGATAAACGTAGGTCTGAAATACTGCAGAGCAATCTTCATTATCTTCAAGAGCATTCCTGAGTTTCCTAGTTATTCGGTTTACTTGCTGAGTGGTACAATAATAGTTACGAGAGCCAAATTGGTGATCAGGAATTAGCTTTTTCATAGGTATGATTTTGTTGATACTCTTGAGAAAAACTTTTTCGTACACTTTAGCTAGTTTAGGAAAAATATTTCTTGGCTTATAGGAAGTCACCAGACCTGGATCATTACCTAGTTTTGGCATACGAATTATCTGTACTACCTCCCACTCCTCATGAAAGTGTCCTAGGCGAAAGGGGGCATTGATTAGAATCGATATGAATTTTATTTTTGCGTCTGTTCTTGCCTAGTCTAAAAAGCCTATGTCTGTACTCCATATCCCTCCCTCTGGTTTCGCTCATTCCAAGTTTATTGTATTTTATATTTTGATAGTTTCATTAGTTTATCATTATTTGTTAGAGATTCAACATTATTTGATACATATTGTCATTTTTTGTTAGTCTGGTCCAGGCGCGGAACCAGTTTTCAAGTCGGGGGGCGTCATGTAGTAGGGACTATCATAGATAATAACAAAATCAATTTTCTTCTGTAGTCTTCTCAGAAAACGAGTTATGACTTTTTTATGCTTATCGACCTCGCTTTTATCGGTATGGTTTAGTGAAGAAGAAGTTTAAGTCCAGTTAAGCGCTCTTCTGCCATTGAAGCTCAAAAAAAAAGCGGCGAACAGCTGATCCGACATCTCGTGCAAAAATAAAACGGTTCATTACATCGCTCTTAATGAGGCGTGCATATTGAATGTGTATCTTCTTTTTAGATTACGTTTGCACGACAAATCCATATGTTTCATCAAAAAATCTTCATGGAACAGTTTTGTCAAAAGATCGAGAGCTCGTGTGAAAAGCAAGTTTCGTATTCCGTCGGAGCATTGACTCTGGATCTAACTATGGCTGTGTACAACATATCCGGCTGGACAGACTTAAAGTTTCATAAAAATCGAGCAAAATCCGAGCGCAAGTTAAATTCTTCAATCAAGGGAAAGCCTTTTAAAAAATATTTATTTTCAGAACGACGAGTTACAGCAATAGTGTACTTGTGACAACTGATAACTTATAACTGAACTTATGCTAAGATTGCAAGTGGTACTTATAAACTAAAACTGCTGAATTGGTGCAACTAAGCATTTACTTCGCTGACCAATCAGTTACAGGGTTTATAACTCCTCCCTTCTTAAAAAACGAACTTACAATGAATTTAAGGTTTTATATAATTATTTGGGGAGTTTCACCTTTTTGGCAATTAGCACGAATTCTATTTAATCTAAATTTATTATACTTTTTATATAAGAAGGTTAATACAATTATTATGAATATAAAGTATAACAATATTGTCCAAAAACGGGAAAAAAATGGAAATATATGGGTTGAATGTCATTTAATTTTTGATTGTTCACATCAAGAGCATTTTGGATTTGTTTAACATCTTCAAATCGTATTTCGCTTAATTGGATG